GATAAATCTACGCTTCGTAAAATGTCTGAATGATAAATCTATGCTTTGTAAAATGTCTGAATGATAAATCTACGCTTCGTAAAATGTCTGAATGATAAATCTACGCTTCGTAAAATGTCTGAATGATAAATCTATGCTTTGTAAAATGTCTGAATGATAAATCTACGCTTCGTAAAATGTCTGAATGATAAATCTACGCTTCATAAAATGTCTGAATGATAAATCTATGCTTTGTTAAATGTCTGAATGATAAATCTACGCTTCGTAAAATGTCTGAATGATAAATCTATGCTTCGTAAAATGTCTGAATGATAAATCTATGCTTTGTAAAATGTCTGAATGATAAATCTACGCTTCGTAAAATGTCTGAATGATAAATCTACGCTTCGTAAAATGTCTGAATGATAAATCTATGCTTTGTAAAATGTCTGAATGATAAATCTACGCTTCGTAAAATGTCTGAATGATAAATCTACGCTTCGTAAAATGTCTGAATGATAAATCTATGCTTTGTAAAATGTCTGAATGATAAATCTACGCTTCGTAAAATGTCTGAATGATAAATCTACGCTTCGTAAAATGTCTGAATGATAAATCTATGCTTTGTAAAATGTCTGAATGATAAATCTACGCTTCGTAAAATGTCTGAATGATAAATCTACGCTTCGTAAAATGTCTGAATGATAAATCTATGCTTTGTAAAATGTCTGAATGATAAATCTACGCTTCGTAAAATGTCTGAATGATAAATCTACGCTTCGTAAAATGTCTGAATGATAAATCTATGCTTTGTAAAATGTCTGAATGATAAATCTACGCTTCGTAAAATGTCTGAATGATAAATCTACGCTTCGTAAAATGTCTGAATGATAAATCTATGCTTTGTAAAATGTCTGAATGATAAATCTACGCTTCGTAAAATGTCTGAATGATAAATCTACGCTTCGTAAAATGTCTGAATGATAAATCTATGCTTTGTAAAATGTCTGAATGATAAATCTACGCTTCGTAAAATGTCTGAATGATAAATCTACGCTTCGTAAAATGTCTGAATGATAAATCTATGCTTTNCCACTGGTCTCTTAGTACAGGTGTCCCTTATGGGTGAGATTTATGCTTAATTTATCTTCCATTTCAGATATTTGTCAAAGACAACCTGGGAGGAGCAGACACTACACAGATAAATTACCTAGGATTTGTAGGCAGCACGGCAGCTTCTACAAACATGTCCGACTTTAAACGCGTAAGTAACACAGAAACCACAACGTTACACGATGCAAACTTGGACACGCCTTGGATAACTCAATGGTTTCTATAAAATACTGATGATCGTTACCCAGGCACCATCCTGGGTGGTCGGGTGGTGCAGTGGATAGCGCACTTGACTTTCACCAAGGCGGCCAGGGTTCGATTCCCAGATCGGACGTGAAAAGGTTGGGGTCACCTGCCCGACCACGTGGGTTTTCTCCGGGAACTCCGGTTTCCTCCCACACTAAGACCCCCCACAAGCTAACATACGGGCCAACAGGAGTGATTAATATAAGTTGAAATAACTTGTTTCATAATTGTTGTCAAACAAATAAAGTTTATATATATACCATCCTCGAAACTCCAGGGTAACGCTCATTTGCACTCATTGCACCTCTGGAATATGTCATAACAAAATTCAAGGCACGGGGCTAGGTATTTTGGTCTCGGGTAAAAAACACCTGACCAATTGCTAGGCTGATATCTGTCCTTAGAAGAAGACAGAGGAGGGCCACCTGACTTCAAAGCCGGTCAATTTTACCGTTACTCGGCTGCTATAAATAAATACTGTAAAAAAGCAAATTTTTACATGTGCAAATGTTTGCAGTGTGACCTGTTTAAAGTTACGGCAGTGAAGAAATGTTTGCATTTGCAGCGGTTCTGAAATCTATATATTTTATATTTTATTTATCCTTATTAAAATAATCCATAAATTACTGTTTGCGCTAATTTACTCAACAAAGAAATGGGACAATTTTCACATAGTGGAAATTTTCATGGTGTTGAAATTGTCCAGTGAAGAATTTCCTGTTCTATTGTGTATATTCAGGAGGCACGGTAGTCTAGTGGTAGGACACCGGGCTCGTGACCAAAGCAAAAGGGTTGCAGGTTTGAGTCACGGCACGGCACTGTGTTGTATCTTTGAGTAAGATATTTTACTCCACTGATTTTGTTCCAGTCTACTCAGCTGTAAATGAGTACGTGGTTTGGTAGTGCTGGAATTGTTGAATGCTAGCTGTGAACCCCGAAATAGCAGCACCGGCTAAATGTTCCCCAGGGAGTTGAGAAAGAAATTGTGTTTTTGCAAAGGCCCTTTAACCACGGATAATACTTTGTGAACCGCTTTGAGTTGACATTCAATCTAGGTTGTGATAAAATAGTATATAAGAACCTCGAATTATTATTATTATTACTATTATATTCTTTTATCACATAATGTACTGTGTTATCCAGTGAATATACTCATGTCATATTTTTTTGTGTATTAACCCATGTAATATGACCTATCAGCCCTGTGATTAATTGTAAATTTCAATTGTTTCAATTGTGACGTCTTGCCTAGGACGCGTGCATGACGTCACAGACTTACGCACTGGAGTCAAAATGGCGGCTTTTTACATTTCAAGGTTGCATGGAAATTGTTGTTTTACACGAATAAATGCCACAAATCTTGATTATGTGATAAAAAGGATCTTACACTCATTTTCATTTCATTTGAAATTTATGAAACTCGTAACAATTTTTTCATTTCAGCTCGCCAGAGGGTCGCTAATTTGAAAAATTCTTAGACTCGTTTCATAAATCTCATATGAAATAGAAACTCATGTATGATCCTATATGTGTTACATAGGAAACATGACACATATAGATAATTATCGTTGGTGTAATGTTTCAGGTTGCTGGGAAGAAAGGAGAAAGCCACTAACACCAGGATTGCGCTGTAACCTCAGAATAAATAAACAGAAGAAAAAACCAACAACAAACCCTCTGAGACATTGATCAGAGATGCACCAGCTTCTTGAAATGTTTTTCACTTAAATCTTCAGATCTTTTAAGTTCCTTTGCTTGCATATAATTTAAACAGCAGCAATTTGGATCGTCAAAAATGAAAAAAAGATTGGTTTTCCTGGCATTGAATTAACAGGTTTATAGATCCAGATGCCTCAATTTGGCTACAGAAATATTTGGATGTATTTGTAGGATGAAGAAATATATGACTATGAAGGACAAATTTGTTTAAAAGGAAACTGAATTGTCACTTTGATAATTTTCTTAATTTGATGGAATCTATTCCGTCTTTACGTATTGCAGAGTTATCTTCTCTTGTGAGCAGGTATTGATTGTAGCTTCATTGGTTTGTGTGAGAAAATTACGTGGCTTTCTCAAAAATTGATGACGTTACTCTCACAAACAAATGACGTAACAATCAATACCTGTTCACAAGAGCAGATAACTCTGCAATACGAAAAAACGGAATACCTGTCCAGGCTAACAGGAAAAATTCTGTGATGTTTTATGAGAAAGTTTATATTCCGCTTTATATCTGTTGCATGTATTTGTGTGAAATTCAACAATTAAGAAAACGAAATACCGCAGACACGAGACTCCTAGTCTGTGTAAATTTACACTGAACATGTAGGAATTGTTGGTATTTTATTTTGTTGATACAAACATTTATGCTAAGATGGAATGTGTGATACTTAATATTCACAGTTCTAGAGTCATTTTGAAAAAAAAACACCAAGGCAAACAGAAAAGCAAAACCACATGTAAATACATAACAAATGATTCCTGTCTTATTAACATGTGGTGAATAAATTGAATTTTTTTTTCTCCCAACAATGGACAAATTTGAATTAAAGTTCTAAAACATATTTTATTTAATAGCTATGTACTTGTATATAATAAAATCTTGGAATGTATGAAAATGTGTAAAATGCAGAAGTTGCAAAATAGCAATGTATTTGATGGCTACCAACAGGGTTAAAATAATAATAGCTGTTTGTAAAGGAATCTGTTTTAATTATACATGTATATGCTACCTATATTTTCCTGTTTTACAGGTAAACGACCCATTACGTAATTAAAGAAAATTCAGAAATGAAGGCTGTTGATATTGTGCTTAATATTCATAATTAACCCTTTCACCACTGTAGACCATAATGGACTCATCCAGATCAATGCATGGTAGAGTCTAAAGTTACATAGGGGTGAAAGGGTTAATAGAGGACAATAGTATCGATGCTAGTTTAACTAGTTCCTGATTGTATAGTCGAATACGAAAATGTTAAATAGAATATTTTCTCAAATAAAAAATTTGATACTGAATATTTTGTCAAATATGAAAATAAAAAAAAAACATGATTTAGTCAAATACGAAAATATTTGATCCAATCTTTCGCCAAATATGACAATTTAAAACATTTAATTTAGTCGAATACAAAAGTATATGAAACCCAATATTTAATCAAATACGAAAAATATGAAACCTAATGCTTGTCAAATACGAAAACATGAATCCCAATATTTGGTCAAATATGAAACCCAGTAATCTGTGAAATACAAAAATATGAAACCCAATATTCTGTTAAAAACGAAAGCATGAATCCCAATATTTGGTCGAATATGAAACCCAATATTTAGTTAAATTTGAACAAATGAAACAAAATATTAAGTGGAATATGAATATGAAGTCTAAAATTTTTTTCATGTACAAAATTATAAATCCAAATATTTTACTAAATACAATAACAAGAAAGTCAATATTTAGTCAAAAGCGAAACTGAATATTTTGTCAAATATGAAAAAATAATACCCATTGTTTTGTAAAATATGAAACCCAGATTTTGGTTCTAATATAAACAAGCAACTAGGAATTTAGTCAAACAGAAACTGAAGTATTTTGTCGAGTACGAAAATATGAAACCCGATATTTGGTAAAATATGAAACTGAATATTTGACGAGTTCGAAAATAAAACCCAATATTTAGTCAAATATGAAATCCAATATTTGACAAGTTCGAAAATATGAAACCCAATATTAAGTCAAATATAAAAATATCTAACCCACTATTTAGTAAAATATGAAACAATGTATTTTGTCAGTATCATGGGTGAATACCTAATGGTATTTGTAGTTCTCATGGAGGCAGGTCAATTAAAATAAAAGGATGAGTAACAATATTACTGAGGAGTCCTGCTCAAAATTATGTTACTCGAGTCAAAGAAATAAAAAAATATTTTGTGGTTAGAGTCAAGGAAATATAATTTTCTGTGGATACAGTCAAGGAAATACAAAAAAAATTGGTTAGAGTCAACGATATATATTTTTTGTGGAAAAAGTCAAGAAAATACATTTTTTTGTGGATACAGTAGGAAACACAAAGTATCTGTGGATAGAATCCAGGAAATACATATTTTTTGATGATAGAACCAAGGAAAGACTTTTTAGCCCACCATCATCTGATGGTGCGCTATTCAAATCACCCTGCGTCCGTGGTCCGTCGTTCGCCGTCTGTCCTTAAACAATTCTTGTTATCAGTATTTCTCAAGAAGTACTGGAGGGATCTTTCTCAAATTTTATATGTAGGTTCCCCTTGGTCCTTAGCTGTGCAGTGCAACTTTTGAGACTGATCAGATAAACAACATGGCCGACAAGCAGCCATCTTGGATTTTGACAGTGAAAGTTTGTTATCGCTATTTTTCGGGAAGTATCAGAGCTCTTTCTCATATTTTATATGTAGGTTCCCCTTGGTCCTTCGATGTGCAGGGCAACTTTTGAGATTGATCGGAGAAACAACATGGCCGACAGGCAGCCATCTTGGATTTTGATAGGGTTGGTTTGTTATCGCTAGCTATTTCTCGGGAAGTACGGGAGGGATCTTTCTCAAATTTTAAATGTAGGTTCCCCTTGATCCCTCGTTGTGCAGGGCAACTTTTGAGACTGATCGGATAAACAACATGGCTGACAGGCAGCCATCTTGGATTTTGATAGTGTTGGTTTGTTATCGCTAGCTATTTCTCGGGAAGTACGGGAGGGATCTTTCTCAAATTTTAAATGTAGGTTCCCATGGATCCCTCGTTGTGCATGTTATATTTTAAAATGGATTTAAAGAAGAACTAACCAGATCTTTCTCATATTGCAATGATCGATTCATGTCAGCATGCTACTGGCCAAATATCATCACCCTGGGCATTTTGGTTATTCAGAAGAAGTTGTTTAAAGGTTTTTTATGATAATTGACCCCTGTGACCTTGAATATAATTGAAGGTCATTCATTTGAACAAACTTGGTAGCCCTTCACCCAAGCATGCTACTTGCCAAATATCATCTCCCTGGGCAAGTGTGGTTTTTGAGAAGAAGATGTTTAAAGTTTTTAACATATTTGACCCCTGTGACCTTGAAAGTGAGTGAAGGTCATTAATTTTAAGTAACTTTGTAGCCCTTCATCACAGTTTGCTTCTGGCCAAATATCGACACCCTAGGCCTTTCAGTTATTAAGAAGCAGTCGTTTAAAATATTGACGCCGGATGCCGGCCGGATGACGGATGCTGCGCCACGGCATAAGCTCACTTTGCACTTCGTGCCAGGTGAGCTAAAAATACTATTATACCTTGGATGAATCTGTTTCAGGTTTCCACGGTGAAGGCCAAGGTAATCCATTATTATATATAACTATATAGCGGACGATCTGATTTTTTTTATGTTTTTATTCTATAATTATATATATATATATGCAAATTTATCAACGAATGCGATAACGTCACTCCAGCAATTTGTTATAAGATTGTGATAAAACTTGTTATATAAAGGTCAAATATGAGAATACCGAAATTTAGTTTGTGTTTCAGGTTTGAAGATCTACATTACTATTTATAGACGATTCATTTTAAAACAGGTTCGATAACCATTTCTTGCAATATGCATTCTAAATAACTGAATATTACATTTCCATGGACATTTATGAAACTAACAATTTTTTAAAAGACTCGAGAGAGATACGAACGGACAACATCTGATGTCGACTGCCTTTTCTAGAGAGTTAAGCTAAAATAATAATAAAACACAGGTAAGCTTGAAATAATAATAAAACACAAGATTTACTCCTCTATTTATTTCTCTTAACTTGCACCTGTCGGTACTTTGTCTATAATAACTTTAAAGCTTGTTTTGTCCCACGGACAATCTAGGTATACATTAGCACCTCATACATACACAACAGTTCCCCACAACAACGATCAATACATAGTTCACAGTGAATCACACAGTCGAAAAAACTACCATCAGTCCCGTAAAAAATAATATCCACGATGTCAAGCTAGGGAATCATTAGGTTCAAATAGGTATTATTTTTAATTTTTAACAAGATACCCTTTTATTTTTTAAACAAATGACAAATGACATTTCTAAAAGGGTCCTGGAGGAATTTTAACATTAGAAAGTGCAAGAACGTATGGAGAAAAACAAGAAAATATGTCATTTTTATAGTTTAAGCATTTAAATATTGCTGTCGAAAATTTTGATAAAATAAGCAATGCTTTATTTGAAAAATCTAATGCAATTGATCCTAATCTTAGTCATATTGAGATATTCAAGTGAAACAACAATGCAGGAAGCAAGTTCAAGAAGATGACTATTGAGTAATTTTGGAATACATTTTTCTGATTCCATATTAATTTTTATGGGAGATTTGTTTTTTTTCTTACTGTGTAAGTTGGTGTGATGTTGAGACTCATTCTCGCTACACTATGGGTATGACATTTACACAGAACAGCAAGCTAGTAAAACTATGTATATATATATATTTATATATGTATTGATATCCAACATGATACAGACATATATAGTTCTAATAATATAATCATTCTGCCATTTAGTTTTTGTATCTTAAAATAACAATGTCAGGAAAAATGAGGTGATATCGTCGTGTTCACCTGGAAAAGACACAAATTCAGGAGCATCCGTAATATGCCGT